CCAGACACCACTCACCAAAGTGCATCCTTCAAGTTCTTGATGGTGGCCGTAATCCCTGCAATTCTTCCAGCAATGTGGTCTTGCTTTTGGTTTATTACTTTTCTAAGTAGGGGCAGTTCTAATGGCTTCCGCTTGGCTTGTTCTACTATATTACCCCTTACTCCGCTTGTCAGGGATCCAGTGTGGAGGTTCTGCCAGTTGCTGTGTATATCTATTCCAGTTATGCATTCTGGAACTGGGGAAATCACTACAGGATGGGTTCAGGGACCCACTGGACCTACTGTGAGACAGACATGAGCTAGGATTCCATTAATAACCTGACCTTCATGTACCCCCACTCTGGGCCACAGTGACATTTTGAGTTTCCTGGAATTAGTGTCAGTTCAGAGCCAGTATCCAGTAATCCCCAAAAAGTCTGATTATTTCCTTTTCCCCAAAGAACAGTCACTCTCGTAAAAGGCCATAGATCCCTTTGGGAAAGGCTGGGAGAAAGATTAACAGTATAAATTTTTGGCAGTGTAGTGGAGTCCTTCCTCAAGGGAACCCAGCCTCCCCTTCATTCAAAGGATTATGAGTCTTTAAACTTGCTCAAGTCTGGGAATTGATTGAGGGGCCATGACTCTCTATTCTGGCAATCCAAGTTAGACTGCTGTTCACTTGACCTAGAATTCTTCAGCTGGTACAGATTAAGTAAATATTTAGTAGATTTCCTATCTATTTCACACCTAACGACACCATGATTAAGTAGCCAACGCCAGAAGACAATATGAGTCAGACTATTCTGATTACTGCTTTGACAGCTGTCCATTACAGTAACCATGCCCACCTTGTCTTTGTCGATTGAATGCTGGCACTTGGCCCCTACAACCATGAGGTCCAATCAACCCCATTGTAGTTAGGTGTCTTAATTCAGTTAGTGCAGTTTCCACTGTCAAATCTGACTTACACAAAATAGCAATAACAGCAGTCTTCAAGGATGCTAGGACTCCCTTCACAAATTTGTTCCTCACTGTTGTGGTAAAAGGTGTGTCCTCTGGGCACTCCATGTGTGGATCTGTGGGTCTAACCTGATAAATCCACTCTAGTATGCCAATTTCCCTAAGCTTTTGGATGCCTTCTTCTACAGTATACCAAGGCAGTTCTGGTACTTCAACCTGATTTAGCGTAGGCCACCACGTAATTCATGCTTCAGCGACCCAACCAAATAAACTATTAGATCCTTTCCTAACCTCTCAGCTGAAACACTGAATGAAGAATCTGTGCTTAGTGGGCCCATATCAATAAACTCAGACTGATCCATCTTTATGTTCTTTGCACCATTATCCCACATCCTTAATAGCCATTCCCACACATATTCCCCAGGTTTCTGTTTGTACATATTAGAATAGTCAAGCGGTTTCTTTGGAGTGTAGCATACCTCCTCCTGGGTCACACTTTGTGTTTCACCTTTTGGGGCTCACTGCAACTTTAGTCTGGAAGGCAAAATGGATGGGTGGGGATGTGTTTTGAGGACATTCAGCATTGTCTTGTAAGGCATCTGTCTCAGGTGATGCCCTCAGGCAATGACTCAGGCAAAGTCTCTTCAGATGCAGCTGGATTAATCTCATTAGATAGGAGTGGAGGGGCTAATGGTTTTACTGGAGAGGGTGGTTTAGCAGATAAAGATAGAGTAATCTCTTCAGATGGGAGTGAGAAGGCTGGTTCTGTTGGCAGGAGTGATTCAACCAAATATAGGGGCTCAGTGTCCCCAGCTTCCTGATTATCTGCTTGTATGTTCCCATCTCACGTTTCAGCATCCCATTTCTTCCCATACAATGCCCTCACTTTAACTTCAGACACCACTCGAGGTTGGGAATTCAGTTGGTGTGGTAATTCAGCCACTCTTACCATAAAACTCTGGATTTGGTTTTCTGCAATATCAGCTCTGTTACTGCAAGAAATAAGGTTTTCTTTCCAGACATAAGTGGAAACTTTGAGGTCATTTATGCAGCACTTGAGCTTTAACTCTGAAGCCCTGAGCTCATCTCTTTCTTTCACCACTTTGTCTAGAGAAAGTAGGACCAACCAACAATCTTCCTGATACTTCTCATTATGACAAAATTGTAGAAAGTTATCAAGCATGCGATCACCCTGCACCTCACCCCTCACCAATATCTGATCTACTGGTGGTGATATTTTGCCTATTTCTATTGCCACCTCACGCCATGGATTAGCAGTGCCCTGTTTACTATTGGAAGCAGAGTCATCAACATAATTTAAGACTAACCAGACTTGAGAACCAATTTAGAAAACTCATCCTTACAATTTTGTTTCTCTAGAACCACTCTCGGTACCAAATGTCTTAGGCTGGGTTCTCTAGAGAAGCAATATATATATATATATAGAGAGAGAGAGAGAGATTTATATCAAGGAAATGGCTCACGCAGTTGTAGAGGCTGGAAAGTCCCAAGTCTGTGGGTCAGGCTAGAGGTTTCTCCCAACTCACGTAGCTGCAGGGGCTGGAGAACCCAAGATCCAGACCACGAAGGCTGACTAATCCCAAGATAGGCAGGCAAGGTGCTAGTTCAAGTCCCAAGAACCAGAGGTCAGGTGAACAGGAGACAGCTGCAGGATCCAGAGCAATCAGAAGCCTGAGAGCCTTGCCAGAAAGTCTACCTATAATGGATGCAGGCCACATCCTCGAGGAAACTCCCTTACAACTGATTGGCTACTCACAGCAGATTCCATCCTGGAGGTAATCACACTACATCAGATCTCATCATGGAGGTGATTATATATCATTATACAACTGTAAAACTATATCATAACTGCCAAACCACTGAGAATCACAGCCCAGCCAAGTTGACATACAACCTTAAAAATCACAATTGGGATCGTTGGATCATACGGTAATTCTATGTTTAACTTTTTGAGGAACCGCAAACTGTTTTCCACAAGTCCTGTTCTTTACAGCCACTTTTGAATGACGCCTGAGCCTCAGTTTCCTCATCTATAAAATGGGGATAATAATAGTACAATAGCACTGTCTTGAGAGTTAAATGAGATCATGCATGCAGATAGGGCCTGGCACATTAGTTGTTATCCATTCAGCTAAGAGTGTGTTCCATTGTGAAGCCTTGTGCATACAGCACTGTGTTAGCTCTCACCATACTCCGTTGTAACTAGTTATTTACTTATGCAGCTGCTTAGTTATCTAGTGCTTCTATAAAGCAAATAACACAAGTGGATGGCTTTAACAAACAAATTTATTTTCTCACGGTTTAGAAAGCTAAAAACCAAATTCAGGGTGCTGGATCTAGGGGAAGGCTTTCTCTCTCTGTTGGCTCTGGAGGAAGGTCCTTGCCTCTTCTGAGCTTCTGCTCCTGGGTGATCTTCATGTGGCTTGGCATCTATCTTTCCCCACCCTCCTCCCCCCACCCCCATCTCTGTTTGCTAGCTGGAGTTTAATCTCTTTTATATCTCAGAGATTGACTCAAGATACACCCTACACTAACCTTGTCTCATTAACATAACAAAGACAACCCACTCCCAAATGAGATTATAACCACAGGCATAGAGGTTAGGATTTACAACACATATTTTTAGGAGACACAATTCTATCCATAACAGTAGGTATCTCCCAAACCGAGCGCTTGAGTAGAAAGACCATGTGTTAATCCTGTGTTTCCTGTTCCCAGGAAAAAGCCTTGCACACATTAAGAACCAGTTGCTGTGAGGTCGATTCCTAATCACGGCAACCCCATGAATGTCAGAGTAGAACTGTACTCTACAGGATTTTCAGTGACTAATTTTTTAGCAGTAGATCACCAGGACTTTCTTCCAAGGCACCTCGAAGTGGACTCGAATCTCCAACCTTTGGCGTTTGGTAAGTGTGGGCGGAAGACTGAACCCAGGAAAGATGGCATCCAAGTGTTGGTCCTTTGGCCCAATACAGGATATACCATGTTGGACCACAAGAGGGCGCAGTATATTTCTTACAGAGAGGCGGGGCTGCTGGGAAAGGAGGACCCAGGAAGGCCGGGACCAGCACCTGCTCCCCCTCGGCCCAGAGCACAAATCCCCCACCCCCATACCTCTCTCTAAGGAATCCCAGTGCGAAGAAGGTTACTTTCTCAGCTAGATGTCCAAGGATTCTTGTTCAGTCAAGTGAGCTAGACAATAACGAAAATAAAAATGTTTTGAAAACTGCACATGTAGCCGCTAGTTGTTAGGGCTTTGACTCGGTGTTTTTAAACTGGAAGAGCAAACTGCCGCTTTTTTCAGAGCCACTTGGATCTTTGTGGAAATGGGAGGGCTGCATGTCTATGTGACGGATTACTATAGGCTTGCATCCTGGTTCAGAATTTTGCAAATAATCATCGTCTGGGGGCACTGTCATTGAACTGTCCAAGAAGACTCATTGCTGGAGGGTTGGGGCGACACTAGAGACCCAAAGACCCCCTCAGGGAAGTAAGTAGAGATCAGAACAGGTGAAACAGGCACCACTGGGGAGAAAGTTTAGTTGAAAGCTACCCGGACAATTCAGAGAAGGAAAGGGTTAAAACGAGCCAGCAAGTGGTGCAGGTTTGGGGAGGGAGCAAGGGAAAAGAGGGATGGGGGGAGGAAGTAAAAGGATTAAGAGACCTCTGGGGAGAAACCCTGGTGGCGTAGTGGTTTAGAGCTACGGCTGCTAACCAAAAGGTTGGCAGTGCGAATCCACCAGACGCTCCTTGGAAACCTGATGGGGGCAGTTCTGCTGTCCTATAGGGTCACTATGAGTCGAAATCGACTGGAGGGCAACGGGATTTTACGGGGAGAAAGGGGTTAACCCAGGCTGCGACCCTAGAAGGAAAGGGAGGAGTTAATGGATCTGAGGCGGAGAAGCCCCGCAGCCTTTCGAAAACAACATGCCCCCCCACCCCGGGCTAAGACGGGGTTAAGGAGGCGGACTCAGAGGGAAGCCACGTGCCGGAGGGAAAGGTTATTGGTTCTCCCGTAGTTGTTTGTGCACCGCCATTGGCGACGTCGGGGCGCCGCGACGAGCCGATTGGCTGGGGTTCGGCGGCCCACGCCAGGGCGGGGGAAGGGGGCGGCCGAACCGCGTTGCTGAACCTGGCTGGACCCGGCTGGGCCGAGCGGGGCGGGAGCTCTGCGCGCGCTGTGACCGAGTCGGAGCCCGAGCCGCGGCCGCAGCCGCCATGCGCTGGGTCCGAGTGCTGCTGAAGAATGCCTCTCTGGCAGGGGCGCCCAAGTACATCGAGCACTTCAGCAAGTTCTCTCCGTCGCCGCTGTCCATGAAGCAGTTTCTGGACTTCGGTACGGAGAGGCGGGGGGCAGCTGGCACTGGGGCACCGAGAGGGGTAGCCGGGGGGTGATTCGGGGTGAATGGAGGGATCCCGACAATGAAGGATTAACGGGGAGGAGAAGAGAGGCCCTGAGTGACGGGGAAGCGTTGCTAGGAAGAGTACAGGCAGGAAAAGGTTAATGGGGAGGAAAGGAAAGACCCGGGCCTGAAAGGGTTAAGAGCACCCTGGCTGAAGAGAGATTCTGCACTGGACTACTAATGGAAAGTGGGGGGCACTGAGAAGGAGGGGTCCAAGGTTTTTTCTTGGACTTTGTGTGGCGTCTTGGGGAGTAAGGGACGGGGCGGGGGGGTGGCGGTAATTAGGGCAGGAAGGCAGTAGGGTGACATCCTGGCACTAAAGGGTTAATATGGCATTATGATGACTCTAAGAATGGGGGATAGAGAGGAAATGGAGGGTGCTGGTGGAAGTAACAAGGCAGAGTTGGGGAGGGGTAGCCATCGGGAAGGAGGAGACCTGGTCTGGGCATGGAAGGGTTAGACACTCCTGGGTAGAGAGTGAGAGAAAAGGAGGGGGCAATTGGCTCTCTCAGAAGAAGATGCCAACCAGAGAGGAGGCCCCTGACCAGTAAACCTCCACCCAATGAAGGAGGTGGCCCCCAACTGTCCCAGTGGGCAAGGACACTTGAAGATCAAATATGCCCCACCCTGTCTCTGGCTGGGCAGGGCCCTAGGCACCATGAGGTGAAGTCAGGCCACTTGTACCCACGCTTGGGCTGCCCCTGGGTTCCTGGGCCAGGATCATCCACCACCAGCGTCTTGGGGTGGCTCTGGGGCAGGAGCAAGGCTGTGCCAACCTGCCGGTTGAAGCAGGCATTGTGTGGCCCCTGTCTGTCCACGTGGTATTTCAATGGTGCCAGCTGGAGGTTGGGAGGGAGTGCCCAGTCTCTGAAGGAGCCCTGGTGGCACAGTGGTTAAAGTGCTTGGCTGCTAACTTAAAGATCAGCAGTTCGAACCCACCAGGTGCTCCACAGGAGAAAGATGTGGCAGTCTTCCGTAAAGATTTACAGCCTTGGAAACCCTATGGGGCAGTTCTACTCTGTTCTGTAGGATTGCTATGAGTCGGAATCGACCAATTGGCAATGGGTTTTTGCTTCTCTTGGCCCGGGTGTCTGAAGAGTTGAGGAGATAGTGTCTGGCTCAGGTTACAGCTGCGTCACTGACAGGAAGGGGCGGGGAGGTGGCAGCTAGAATACAAGGGCACCTGTTGCCCGAGACTTGTTTGCCCACCTCTTGGCCTGTTGAGTCTTGAGCCTCCCCCATATGGGAAAGCCTCTTAGGCCCACTATGAGCCCCAGCAACTGCCCAGCCCACACTGGGCTCTAGTTACAAAATGTTGCTGCTGGGAGGGGCCCGCAGTAGAGTTCATCCCGTTCTTAGTATAGTGGGAGAAACAGACCTTCAGAAGAATGGTGACATGCCCTGAATAACAGAGTTGGAAGCAGAGCCGGGACTAGAACCCAGGTCTCCTGATTCCAGGCTGTGGCCTTATTCAGTCCTCCAAGCCCTCATCTTCTTGAAGACAGGCCAAGTTTTGGGCTGCCATGCTTGGGCCCTGTTTACCTTGCAGGTGGGCATTAATGCAGGATACCACTCTGCAGTGGGCATCAGGACCAGCCTGGAAGAGACCACACTGGGACCCTGAGCTGCACTAGTCCCAGCTTAGCTTCCCACCCTGGAAAGGGATAGATTTCCCAGACTGTTCTGCCCACCTGAATCAATCCCCCAAAGTGAGTGTCTAGAAGGAAAGAGAAGACTGAGGTGACTTAGGCCAGAGGCAGCTCCAAGTGGGCCCAAGGCTGGGCCTGCCCCCACAGTTAAAGGTTCACCTGGAGGCAGGGAGAGGATGCAGCCCCCTGGAGGGTTAGGCAGGGTGTGTATGGAGGTTTGAGCACACAGGGGAGGAGACCTGCCTTGCTGCGTGCTCTTGGTCAGGTTAATTCCTCGCCAAGCCCTCAGTACACGAAGAGCCTGACTGACCTGTCCCCCAAGATGTCCTCTGGCTCTGCTGGTTTGCAGTTCTTGGGCTCACCCCTCTCTCCTCCCCCCAGGATCCAGCAATGCCTGTGAGAAAACCTCATTCACCTTCCTCAGGCAGGAGCTGCCGGTGCGCCTGGCTAACATCATGAAGGAGATCAACCTGCTTCCCGACAGGGTGCTGAGCACACCCTCAGTGCAGCTGGTCCAGAGCTGGTGAGACCCCTGGCCAGGGCCCTGCACCCTCCCACTCCATCGCCAGGCATCCCTGGGCTCAGGGATGGAGGCTCCATGCTTCCAGCAGCCTTGAGGGGGTGGGTGCAGAGCAGAGGCACAGGGGCTTGGGGGGCCAGGGAATTGCCCAAAGTCATGTGGGAGTCCTAGGCCAGAGCAGGGACTAAGATCCAGCTCCTACCCTCCAGTGTCTGTGGGACAGCCTTATATTCACCATCCTCGTTTCTCCAGAAACCTGGGATCCGTAGTTTTGGTAAATCATAGTTTTCCCAAGTCCTGGGAAATCATGGTTTTCACAGCTAAAATCTCAAATCAGACTGATGTCAGCATTAGCCACAGCCCTGGTCCTAGAAGCCCAGCAGGTGCTGTGTTAGCTTTTGCCTTTGTTGGATAATATTTATCTAGGTTAACTTTTTGGGAAACAGAGAAACAAGATGTATCAGATGAACAAATTATACCATCCAAGCTATAAATCAGAGTGTTTTAGATGTTGGAAGACACCCAAATAGACACAGGAATTGTGCAGAACCACCCCAAATAGCCTTGGAGGGCAAAGACCAAAGTTTGTTGCATGTGGCAGCAGCAGCAGAGGGAGATCCTCAGTAGAGTTCACTTAAGAACTCTGTTCAGAGTTGAGTAACAGGATGACATTAGCCAGTGGCCACTCACAGGAAGCATCAACAAGGGTTTGCTCCAGGACTGAGCATAGAAATGGATAATACTCATTGGTCTTGAGCAGCACCGGTACAGAAATCTTCTGCTAGATCTTCTAGACTTGCGGTATGGTGTGTCTGTGGTTTCGTTTTGGATTCAGGAGCGTGTACTGAAACCTTTGAGCCCAGCACTGTGCTCGATCTCAGAAAATAGCAGCAGTTGCCCCGGGGGAGCCCTTGATCTCACAGGAAACGCAGAACTCACCAAGGCAGGGGAACTAGGTGTCACATAGAGAGTGGTGAACTGCTGGAGAGTCAGGTTTCTTTAAATTAATAATTAAAATATCATTTAAAAGTAACATTGGTTGGGGTTGTTTTCTCGCTGCAGAAATATAACATGTTCACTCTGACGTTTGCAGGAAACACAGAAATGTAGCTAGAAGAACATGCCTCCACCCCATAACCAGACACTGTTAAGTTTTCTTAAGATTTTATTGGTGTCCTTCCAGCATTTTCTGTAGGCATGGGCATGCATATGAATGACTCCTTCTAATTAAATGAGGTGAGGTAGTGTTTCACACACAAGGCCGGTCATATGGTAGGTGCAAAATGAACGTTACTGAGGTCAGAAGTTGTGGGGGAGTTGAAATGGGCATACAGAGGAGGTGACTTGTCACTGGGCCTTACAGGGCCCTATGTAAGCCACAGACTGAGAAGGAAGGGAAGGACATTCCAGGCCAAAGGAACAGCGTATGCAAAGGTATGGAGGCAGGAAAGGGCCTGCTAGCGTGTCTGAGAACGTACTTTGTGGGTATAGTGCTGTTAGTGCAAGCAGTGAAGGTAGAACGGGGGAAAGAGGGCTGAGCCTCATTTTCATGAAGCCCAACCGGGTCACCCCCTGCTAGGCCCTGCCCCTTGGAGTTCTAGGACTTCTGAGCCAGCAGCAGTTCCCGCCACAGGATGGTGTGGAAGTCATGAGGAGGAGACAGAAGGTGCCATCTGTTCTCCCCAGCCCCCCTCCATCTCTGTCCGGCTGACTGACCTGGCCGCCTCTCTGGCTGGTCCCTGACTCCAGGACAGGGCTTCTCAGGCCCCTCCCTGGACGCTGTTCCTGGGAGAGCCAAGGGTGGGGGTGGGAAGCTGCTGACCACCCATGACTCCCCCAGGGCCTCCGCAGAGTCCCTTCCTGAAAATCAGTTACACGTTCAAGGCTTGGCCTGACTTAGTCTTCCCTCAAAGCTTGAAAGTGATGTCAAGCAACAGCAGTAGGGAGTGAAGTTAGACAAGAGACAACACTTCTCTAGAGGGTGATTCAGCTTTGAGGAGAGCAGGCCAAAGACTGCTAAGTAATAAGTGTTCTAACACACTGAAGAGACACCCTACTGAGAGTGCTTCCAGAGAGAATGGGCATTGGCTACAGCAAGAGAGACTAAGGTTTGAGGCCAGGAAGGACTTCCTGACAGGCACGTGGTGGCTGTCTCCAGGAGAAACCCCTTCCACCTTGGGTGATGGAGGTGGTGGAAATGGTCATGGTCTGTACAAGAGGCAGGGGGTGACTCACCAGGGGGCCTGACAAGAGGGCCACTAGCCTCAGAGTCTGATGAGTAAAAAGTATAACCTCCCTTTGGAAAAGGGAAAAGTCCTGTGTAAATGCTGTTGTTAGCAATGGTGATAGTTAATATGTGTAATAGCTAATGGAGTTTCCACTCAGCGGGGGAAAGGTTCTAGGCAAGAGTCACTGTAGGCCAGTTAGAATTCCTGGTTCTAAATAAACGGAGAAAAGATTGAAGTTGTCAAGGATTTCATTTTGCTTGGATCTGCAATCAATGCCCATGGAAGCAGCAGTCAAGAAGTCAAGTGACACATTGCACTGGGCAAGTCTGCTGCAAAAGACCTCTTTAAAGTATTAAAAAGCAAAGATGTCACCTTGAGGACTAAGGAGATCCTGACCTAAGCCATGGTATTTGCAGTCACCTCATATGCATGTGAAGGCTGGACAATGAATAAGGAAGACCGAAGAAGAATTGATGCCTTTGAATTATGGTGTTGGTGAAGACTATTGAATATACCATGGACTGCCGGAAGAACGAACAAATCTGTCTTGGAAGAAGTATATCCAGAATTCTCCTTAGAAGTGAGGATGGGGAGACTTCGTCTCACATACTTTGGACATGTTATCAGGAGGGACCAGTCCCTGCAGAAGGACATCATGCTTGGTAAAGTAGAGGGTCAGTAAAAAAGAGAAAGGCCCTCAATGAGATGAGTGACACAGTGGCTGCAACAAAGGGCTCAAGCATAACAACGATGGTGAGGATGGCACAGGACTGAGCAGTGTTTCATTCTGTTGTACTGTACGAAGAGTTGCTACGAGTCTGAACCAACTCGACGACACCTAACAATAACAAATAAACCTGGTACATTATTTCAACTGGACAGACTTGGTAGAGTGGGACCTTGAATTGAAGGTGACTGGAAGGTAGTGAAGAGACCTGAGTTTGGCATCAGTGTGTTTCATTTTGAGGCTTACTGCTGCCGTTTGCCATCAAGTCACCTCCAACTCATGACAGCCTCATGCGTGTCAAAGTAGAACTGTGCCATGGGGTTTTCAGTGACTAATTTTTCAGAAGCAAATTACCAGTCCTTTCTTCCGAGGTGCTTCTGGGTGGACTTAAACCTCCAACCTTTCAGTTAACAGCTGAGTGCACTAACATTTTCACCAACTCCTGGCAAGCCATATGGACTCTCTGATTCCTCATCTGTAAAATGGGGAGCAATTCTGTTTCTAAAGGTCAAATACCACTGCGAGATGTGAAAGTGTATGGAACTCCGTAAGCACAAGCAGTGCCCCCAGGCTTCTGGGCAGGAGCACCCCAGGCCAATGATGATGTTATTGTGGAGACTCTATTGGGCAACGTAGTAATAATAATGGTGATGATGACAACAATAAACATACCTTGAGGGCTTATGGTGTGTTAGGAACTTGTGTAAGTGTTTACACGTATCAACCCAGGTAACCCTCACAACAACCTTATGAAGTAGGCCTTGTTGTTATCTCTATCGTAGAGATGAGAAAAATGAAGTCCAGAGAGGTTAAGTAACTTGTCTATATAAAATCACTCAGGTAGATTCCTCAGGTGGTATAAACGGTAAACCAAAAGATTGAAGGCTTGAGTCTACCTAGAGGCACCTTGGAAGAAAGGCCTGGCAATCTACCTCCAAAAAAATTAGCCATTGGAAACGCCATGGAGCACAGTTCTTCTGTGGGGTCACCATGAGTCAGAATCGACTCCACAGCAACTGGTTTAGAAAGTGGCAAAGCCAAGATTGGAACCCGGGCAGCCTGATCTGGAGACTGCATTCTTGAAGAGAAAGGAAGAGTACTGTGTTCTCGGGCAGTGATGTACAGTTAGATTTCCCCTACCATGGGAGAAACTGGTGTGGTCCTGGGAGCTAAAGTGGAAGTTTCTGACATCTGTAGAGCAGAGAAAAACCACCACGCCAGGCTAAAGCACCAGCCTGCCAGGAGCTAGCCATGGTTCAGCCCTTCCCCGTGGGGCCTTCTCTGTGTGAGGACTCATCTCAGGTCCAGTATAAGTCAGTGGGAGAGTAGGGTGCACTTTACAGAAACGGATTTGACAGCTCGTGTTGCTGGAGTGCAGAAGGGGTCATCTTGACTCCTCAGGAGACAAAGCCAGCCTGAGGAAACCTGTGGAGGCAGTGATTTGCTTCCATAAAATGGAGGGTTAAACGAGAGTTGCAGAGTGGAATCAAATGACAGTGAGTCACTCCTGTCACTAATAGAGGCTTTGTGGGAGCTGTAGGGAAGGGGGTAGGAGACAATATGGCTGCTGTCACCCTCTCATGAACCTTCCTTGCTGCCTGTCAGTCAGGTGTGTGGAGCCCAAACTCAGCCTGTGGGAACCCCACTCCCGCCCCTCAGGAACCAGTCCTTGTCCTTAAGGAGAATAACCACCACAGCGCAGTGGCTGCACCGCTGCGGCCTGCTCCATGCCGGGATGGGGCTGGGGCTTTAGGTCCATCATCTCATTGACTCCCTTAGCCATTCTTTCCATAATCATAGTAGAAGTAAAGTAGAAATGACTACTTATTGAATGTGGACGCCACATCATCCTCTTCAGTCTTCACCACAGTCCCACGAGGTGGTTACTGCTGCGAACCCCATTTTTCAGATGGGCACCTTGAGCCGTTCAGCGGCCTCTTAGGGTACAGCCAGCAGTGGAACCCAAATCTGCCTGGTTCAGAACCCACGCCCTGCCTGCCACCCCTCCCCAGTCACATCTCCACCTCTCCCCTCCAGTGCATTGAGCCACCCCCATCCTGTGGCCATCGGATTGTTCATGCCTCTTCCCCATAGCCACTGTGGACACTGGTGGGGGGTGCATGCACACGTGCACACACACACACATCGACAGGCACAAACACTCCCGCAGTCACTCAGCCACTCTCCTGCTCCCACACATGCCTGCGTACACCCTCCCTCCCACCACCCACACACTGGTTACAATATCCATATATTCCCCCTGCCTCTCCCCCCATCTCACCCCTCCTGCCTCCCAAATCCAGGGCTCTGGACTGGCTGCCTGTCAAACAGGAGAGCTGGGGGTACTGGAGAGCCACAGAAGCAGGGTCTGGGTGGGTTCCACAGAACCTTGGGCAGGGGAGAAGCTCCAGATCTGATCAAGGGAGCAGTAGGCGGCCTTGTTTGCTTCTGAACTCAGTGGGTCCAGGGACCCCAGGCCTCCCTAGAGCTTTGCATAGGCCCCGCTGCCTGCTCAGCCTGGCCGAGGCAATAAACCCGAAAGGGATGAGTCTGCCACTGCCCTGGGCTTCTAGGCCTCCCAGAGCCAAGTTCAGTTCTCTGTCTCACCCTCGGAGGGGCAGGCAGCCTGGGAGCCAGCACTGCACCATTCCCAGTGTCTCTTCCTTTAGGACCAAGATCTGGTCCAAGGGTGAGAGCTGCTGTGCCAAGTTCCTAGAGGCTTCAGAGTGGAATCAGGGCTAAGGGTCCTCTGGGAAAATCTGTCTCATCCTGTCCTCTCTCCCTCCCAAGAGTACACTCAGGACTACTACCCGGTGGGGGAGCCAGGACAGGGATGCCAAACCCTGCTTCACAGAAGGAGACAGGCCTGGGGCTGGCTGCTCTCCTGATAACCATGTTGGCAAGTTCTACCCATTATTGATCCATCCTGGTGACTGTGCTCCATTTCAGTGCCTTGTGACCAGACCTCATCTCTGCCCTCTAGGGTCCATTGGACAGCCATGCAGGTGCGGTGCCTGCAGCTGGGGCACTGCCTTACCCCTGGATGCTGGGACTCTGACCTTGTCCCTCCCACAGGCCTCTGGCCAAGCACAGTCAGCCTCCTAGGCCTGACTTCCTCCCTCCTCGCCCCCAACTCTTGGAAAGGGGTTCTAGGGCCCCCCTCTCCAGCCTGTCTCCCCTTCCTCTCTCTACCTGCCCCCCAATCATTGCACACTTATGGGTTCTGTCCCCTAATCTTCTCTCCCTCCAAGTACATCAGCATGAAGCTTTATCCCAGGCGTTGTTAGAGAACAAAGGATTTGGAGTCACACAGGCCTGGGACAGAGAATCCCAGCTCTGCATATCAACGCTCCCATCTATAAAATGGGCCTAGCAGTAACACCCACCTCACAGGGTTATTGTGGAAGTTAAAGTATGGCGAGCAGGTAAGCACAGAGCAGAGCCCTGGCCCAGAGTCGGTGCCCAATCAATGCCGGCTTCCATCACCACTGATGTCAACAGCACCATTGCTATTAGGACCAGTGTAGACATCGAGCCATGTGGTGCATACTTGGAGTCAGACAGACCTAGGTTTGAATCCCAGAGCTGCTGATTACTGTGTGGCCTTGGACATATCACCTCTCTAAACCAGTTTCCTTGTCTGCAAATAGGGGGAAATACTACATGCTCGTCAAGTCTGTTGGGAGATGAGCACAGGCAGGCATTAATGATCACTTGGTAAGTGTTGGCTGTTATTATTCTCCAGGGAGATTGAGGTGAGGTCCTAGAAGTGCCACGTTGATTGTCCTGGTAGGGGAGGGGCTGGCCCTCTGACTTGTAGGCTGGACTCTAGGGAGGAAGCTGATCTCTTCTGCTGCCTAGGCCTCCCCCGCCCCCACAGCAGCGACTAGGATGCCTTGTCTCCTGTGTGTCAGGAGCTGTGCTGGGCCCTGAGTTCCGAGGGCAGAGACAGAGCACTGGGGCTGAGACAGACCCTATTTCTGCCATCAGTGAGCCGTGACGCTGCTCCCCAGGGCACGGCCGATTAAAGCATAGTGTGATTCAGAGTCTGCTCCCAGTACAAGGAGTGGAGAGTGTACTGCCTGGGGACTCAGAGGATGCACTCAGCTGTCAGTGACATGGGAGCCACTATTTAGAACAAGCTCAAGCACTTAGAGAGCACTCACTATGTGATAGGCACTGTGCTAACCTTCACAATTCATCTTCACCAAAACAGCACAAAAAAAAAAGGAGAATGCAGTTGCTGAAACTACTTAGGTACAACCAAACTCTTCATGGGAGTAGTTCTCTTGGTTCAAAAGCTTAAGGTCGTGGCTTCGTGGGACTGTCCAGCCAGGTGTCCTAACAGCTGTTGTTAGAGTTTCCCTTTTACCCCTGTGTTTATCTAGGGAAGCAAAACCAGTAAAGCATATAAATATATACAGAGAGAGCTTTACATCAAGGAAATGGCTCACATGGTTGTAGAGGGTGGAAAGTCCCAAGTCTGTGGGTCAGACTGGAGGCTTCTCTTGGCTCACAGGCTGCGGAGACCCACAAATCCTAAGATCTGCAGGCAAGATGGCAGGTAAGCTGCTAGCTCAAGTCCCAAGAACCGGAGGTCAGACAAACAGGAGCCAACTGCAGGATCCAGAGCGAGCAAAAGCCCATGAGCGTTGCCAGAAAGTTCACCGATATTGGATGCAGGCCACATCCCCAAGGAAACTCCCTTTCATCCGATTGGCTACTCACAGTAGATCCTATCATGGAGGTGATCACATTATTTCAGATCTCCTCATGGAGGTAATCGGATCATTATACAACTGCCAAACTACATCATAACTGCCAAACCACTGAGAATCATGGCCCAGCCAAGTTGAACACAACCTTAACATTCAGAACCCCCCAGTTCAGTGAGTAGTGCCTGGGGTCTTAAAAGCTTGCGAGTGCTCATCCAAGATACAACAATTGATCTCTATTCGCCTGGAGCAACAGAGGAAGAAGGAGACCCAGACATCGGAGAAGGAACTGGACTGTAGGTCTAGTTGCCTTCATGAACTACTGCCTCCTTTGCCATGAGACCAGAATAACCGGATGGTGCCAGCTACCATTACTGAATGTTTTGATCAAGGACTCGATGGATGAATCCTGAGAAAAAGGGGGGAAAATGTACAACAGAATTTCAGACTTTTCATAGAATCCAGACTTGCTTTACTTGTTGAGGCTGGAGGAATCCCTGAATCTGTTGCTCTGAGAAGATTTTTGAAACCTTGAACCAAAACCATACCCTAAAGTCATCTTCCAACTAAGCAACAGTTTTAGCTGAACTAGTAAGGAATGTTTGCCTTGAGTGTTGAGCTCTTTTAAGGAATTATCTACTTCAGATCAAATGGAGAACAGTAACTCTAAAGCATAGATGAGCAGTTTAAGGGACAGTGGTGATGAAACAATTTGGGGAGAGAGAACGAGAATGGTGACACAGTGTTAAGAATGTAGCCAATGTCATTGGGTTGTACATGCAGAAATTGTTGAATGGGTGTATGATCTTCTGTGTATATTTTCACCAAAAATAAAATAAATATTAAAAAAAATAATAATAACCCTCATTTTCCTGATGTGGAAACTCAGGCCCAGAGAGGTTCCATGACTTCTCCAGGGCCACACAGCTAGAAATGCTCAAGCCAGGAATGGACATGGGCTGAGCCAGCTCCAAGCCTAGTTCTTTCACCCTCTCCTGTCTAAGCAAGAGAGGGAAGAGCAGAGGCATAGAGGTGAGACTCTTGAGTAGTCACAGCACCATAGAGTGACAAGAAGAGTAGATTTCTGAGTCTTAATTATACCACTTACCAGCTGTGGGACTACTTGAGGCCTCATCTGAAGAGACTGTAAAATGAAGCTGCTCTTCCAACCCTCTTACCTACTAGGTAGGGACTATAAAGCCAGTTGCTGTAGAGTTGATTCTGACTCATAGCGACCTCATGTGTGTCAGAGTAGACTGTACTCCTTAGGGTTTTCAGTAGCTGATTTTTTGGAAGTAGATCACCAGGCCTTTCTTCCGAGGCAACCCGAGTGGACCCGAGCCACCAACCTTTCAGTTAGCAGCTGAGCACATTAACCATTTGCACCACCCAGGGACTCCACTGTCATTCTAGGATCCCAAAATCAAAGGCACTATAAGGGAGGTCAATAAATTAGAGATTTTCTTACATAACTTACTGTGTTGTCAAGGAGACTCATGTGCAAATGAAATGGGTTGAGAAAAACTGTGATGTAGCTTGTCAACCAATATAGCTGTGTGGTGCCCACAGAAGAGTCAGGACAAGAGTGAGGTGCATGCAGCAAAGTGGGGTGAGAAGGGGGCCCAGCCCAGAGCTGAGGTGGATGTCCCCTCTTGTCCCCACGCACAGGTATGTCCAGAGTCTCCTGGACATCATGGAATTCCTGGACAAGGACCCTGAGGACCACCACACCCTGAACCAGTGAGTGAGGTCAGGGTAGGAGGGCAGGTACAAGCAAAGGGCATCTGAGGTCACAGCCCGTGGGAAGGGATTTGAGGGCAAAAATGCCAGCACGACAGAAGAAATAACCCCTGCCCTGAGGGAGATCCAGTCTGAGGCGGGAGACAGACTCTGCTTTAGGGAGCCCCAAGTTGAATGGGAGAGACACAGATTCCATTCTCGGGGAGGCCTATTCTTGGGGGAGACAGCCCCTGCCCTCAGTGTGCGCTGAGCCTGATGGGAGAAATACAGGCCTTGCCGTTGAGGACCCCGATTCTGAGGAACTGAGAGCTCTACGCTTTTGAGCAGGGAGGCTGTCAGGCAGACAGCTGGGTGATGCAGGGTGGGATTCTGGGAAGAGTGGGGAGGGCATTGTGTATCGGTCGGGTCTGGGCAGTAGAGTGGGTGAAGACACTGTGGAGTGGTGTCTGAGGGTTATCCCCGAGGGCTGGGTGGGAGCAGATATCTCCCCTTGCCCGAAGGTTCACTGATGCCCTGGTCACCATCCGGAACCGGCACAATGACGTGGTGCCCACCATGGCGCAGGGCGTGCTTGAGTACAAGGACACGTACGGCGATGACCCTGTCTCCAATCAGAACATCCAGTACTTCCTAGACCGCTTCTACCTCAGCCGCATCTCCATCCGCATGCTCATCAACCAGCACAGTGAGGGGGTGGGGGTGCTGCCGGGGAGGTGCGGGGTCACCCGGGCTGGGCCATGGGGCGTGTCATCAGGGACCAGGGACACTCAGGGACCTAGGGCTGTTCAAACCTAAAGAAAAAAAGGCACTGACTCCAAAATACAAAAAGAAAACCACAGCCTGGAAATTAATCGATATTTAAATGTTTACAACATGTAAAATTATGTCACCTTTTTGAAAAGTGTGCAATTCAGTTTTCATAGAAACTCTCATTACATCCCAAAGCAGTTTTGTTCTTCAGAGGTTCTTATTTCCGGTATTTACTATGATTGTTGAGAAAGCATAGCCAATCGCAAATCAAATGAGTTTGCCACACTCAAGTAATTGCAAAAGCAGGATGGTAAAAATTATTTTTAAATGTTGTAGCAAAAGAAATTTAATGTGGCATCTAGATGCGTTTTAATGCGAGATAGGAGGAGAGGCTTCTGGAAAGAGGAAAGCTTCAGGCCTTTGAAGGTCTAAAAATGGCCTGATTCGGGTGGGGAGGGCCAGGGCGGGGAGGTGAAGGGGGTGCGCTGTGCATCTTGAGGATCAGAGCCCACAGAGGCATAGAAATAAAGGCAGGGGGCTGGAGAACCCCGGGGGAAGAGGGAAAGCTAGGGACTGCTCTATAGCCTGCCAGCAGCACCTTCTTGTCCACAGCCCTGATCTTTGATGGCAGCACAAACCCAGCCCATCCCAAACACATCGGCAGCATCGACCCCAACTGCAACGTCTCTGAGGTGGTGAAAGGTGAGCCATCCCCAGCGTGTCTGGCCCACAGGGAGCCCTGGGGGCCCAGAGGGTGACCCATTTCCCAGTGGGTGGGGCCACATCCCTATGAGGTTAATGTGGGTGATGTGATGCCCAATGGCAATGCCAAGAGGACTGCCTGCTGAGTGGGCTGTGCCCCATGCCCTGAATGGCCCCTCTCTTCCCTCAGATGCCTACGACATGGCCAAGCTCCTGTGTGACAAGTATTACATGGCCTCACCTGACCTGGAGATCCAGGAGATCAATGGTGAGGGATGCACACCTCTCTCTCTCCCTCTCCCTCTCTCCCCCCCCCCCCCTTCTCTCTGTCCCCTCTCTCTTTCTCCCCCCCCCCCCCCTCTCTCTCTTTCCCTCCAGGGCTGGGGACGGGGGAGGGAGGTGAGGTTGGGGAATCAGGAACACAGTGTTTTCTGGACAGGGGAGAAGCAGAGCTTTTACAGCGGTATGTTATTATTATCAATTCATTTGATAAATGTTTATTAAGCAGTAAACAAGACAGGCAAGGTCCCTGTTCTCATGAAGCTTACATTCTTGGCCCTGGGGAGGTTGGGGAATGGGATCTTGAACTAATGAACAAATAGATAAACAAAATAATGTCAGATCATAATCAGTGACAGGAAGGAAATAAAACAGGATGACACAGAGTGGTGGGGCAGGGTGGTATGTTAGATGGGATATTAGTTTGGCTGCTTTCCCAGAATCCAACTAACAGTGACTAATTAAGAGAGACATTTACCTCTCTGCAGCCCCTGGGGTGGCATGGTCAAAGGTGGCTACCCACAGCCATGTCTGAGTTCCAGCCTGGAGGAAGAAGGAAAGAGGACATGGAAGGCAGGGCCTAGAGGGTGGACACATCACTTCCATAAGCCACCTGGCTACACCTGGCTGCAAGGGAGCCTGGGAATTCAGAAAATTGCTGGGCAGCCATGTACCCAGTTAAATTTGGGGAGGGAGGGGTTCTTGTACCAAGTCAAGAAGGACCGAATGAATGTGAGAGGATGGCTACAGGGTCCTACGTTGGATAGAGCAGCCAAGGAAGGCCTCGCTGCGGAAGTGACACTGAAGGACCAGTGTGGTGGGGCTGGGAGGTTGAGGGGCAAAGAGTTGGAGAGAGAGGCTGGGGTGTGCAGGGGCCGTGGACAGGAGTGGGGGTTTTGAGCGCAGTGGGAAGCCATTGGAGGATTTGAAGCAGGGTGACAACAGGGTCTGACATTCTGAAGATAGATTGAGGTTGGAGGAGGAGGAAAGGACCCAAGAAGACCAGTTAGGAGGTTACTGCAGGAAAACCAAGCAAGGGGAGGTAGAGGCATTGGAAATGGAGAGAAAGGGGTAGATTTGGTAATTATCTTAAAGGCAGAGGTATCAAGACTCGCTGATGAGAAGGGAGGTGCCTGGCTGTATAGGGGAGAGAAGCAGGGACCTGGAAGTTACCTCTATCTTCTCCTTCCCCTACCTGCTCCTCAGCTACTTCCATGCCGGTGTACCTAGAAGTCACCCTGCCCACATCTTAATCTTCCCTTAAGGCCCTGTTCTAGCCCAGCTTCTCCAGAGAGCCTTCCTGGACCTTCCAGACAAGGTAGTTAGGCATCCTCCCTGCTCCAGCTCTACCTCTGTGTTGTACTGTCTTGTAATTACGTGGGTACAAGAGACTAGGGGGCAGAGATGGATCAGTGTACTTAAGTGTCTCCAAGGTCCAGCCCAGTGTCTAGCACACAGTTCTGGGTATACACCCAGTGGATTGATGGATGGATAGACAGACATGGTATGATGGATGGATATGGGATGGATGGATGGATAGATGGTTGAATGGGCACTGAAATGAATGGATAGATGGATGAACGAATACTGGATAAATGGATGAGCAGCTGGGTGGACAGTGGGTGGGTGGTTGGGTGCTGGATGCTTGATACTGGGTGAATGAATGTTGAATGGTGACCTTTTGACAATTTCCTGTTTTTTGGTCTTGACTTGCCTGCAGCATCCAACCCCAAACAGCCAGTTCACATGGTCTATGTTCCCTCCCACCTCTACCACATGCTTTTTGAGCTCTTCAAGGTGAGGACACTGTGGAATGGTCCCTTGGGGGCTGGGGGGTTAAGACTAGACTTCTCTCACTCATCTCTTACCTCATTCCCTCCATAGAATGCCATGCGGGCAACAGTGGAAAGCCATGAATCCAGCCTTACTCTCCCCCCGATCAAGGTCATGTTGGCCTTGGGAGAGGAAGATTTGTCCATCAAAGTATGTGGCCTTGACCCTGGGGACCAGGGAGCAGTGGGGGTGGGGGCTTCCCATCTGCCAGGAGATAGGCTGTCATCTCACCCTCTCCTGTATGGTGGGCTCAGGGCAAATCCTGGGGGTAGGGATCACCATGAAGGGGTCAGAAGTGCCAGGGAGTGGAGCTGTGTGGAAAACAGCTCTGGAGAGCTCCTCACATGTCCCGTCTCCCCCAGATGAGTGACCGAGGTGGGGGTGTCCCCTTGAGGAAGATCGAGCGACTCTTCAGCTACATGTACTCCACAGCACCCACCCCCCAGCCTGGCACTGGAGGGACCCCGCTGGTGAGATGGCATAACTCCATCCCCCCTCCTGCCTCCCGGGAAGATTCTTGTCTCTCCTTTCATCTCTGCTCATCAAATTGTCACCCTGCCCCATCTCTCCCTTCCTTACTTCCTGTGGCCTCTCATTCTTCTGTGACTGCATGTGGTGGCACTTGTCTCCCCTCTGAGTCTCTGGGCCCGCCCATTCCTGTGCCCCCCATCTCTCCCTAGCCTGCACTCATCCAGCTGTCTGTCAAGTGTCTGTCTGTCACCCTCCCTAGTTCTCCCTCTCCTCTCCATCTTTCCTCCACTGCGTTACTGCCTTTCTCTGAACATCGTTCAACTTAACCAGCACCTCCCTGTCAATTCCCAGGGGAGAGTTTATCATCCCTTTCTACAGATTGAGAAATCGAGACTCAGAGGAGCCCTGTGACCTGTCCAGACTGTTACCCATGGCTTCTGGCTACCAGAGCAGGGCTCCTCTCCCTACCCCACATACTGTCCCCACACATACTGTCCCCTCCCATGCCTCAGCCTTCCTCCCTCCTCCCGACTGATTTCCCTCATCCCGCACACACCCTGATAATGCCTGGAAGCCTTCTCTTTCTCGTGTCCCCTCTGTGCCCCAGCTCCAGGAATCCCACCCTGCGTGACCCCAGCTGAGCACCCTTCACCCCACATCCACGCCCTCCTCACTCCCCACACCAGTCCCTGCAGCCCTCAGGAAGCCAAGCACCTGCTGTCTCATCACCCTACTCCTCTCCTGCTCCCTTGTAGGCTGGCTTTGGTTACGGGCTCCCCATTTCCCGCCTCTACGCCAAGTACTTCCAGGGGGACCTGCAGCTCTTCTCCATGGAGGGCTTTGGGACTGATGCTGTCATCTATCTCAAGGTGAGGCCCTATCTCTGGAGCAGCCTGGGTGAGGGCTTTGCCCCGGCCATTAGGTTTTACATCCATCCCTCCAAGCCCTTCTGGGTCTTGGACTCTGAGAACCTGAGGGCAGCTACAGTTCTTCAACCTGTGTCACTCCCCCAGGCACACACAGCTGGGCAAGCGATTTCAGGGAGTCCACAGCCCAGGATTAAGACCCTGTTCTGGGGTCCCTTGACATGTTAGACCTGGGAGGAAGGGGAGCCACAGAGTCATCCAGCTCCTCATGCTCAGATGGGGAGACTGAGGTTCAGAGTTGGTGACCTTGCTCAAGGTCACACAGCACAGCCTCCTCCTTCTTCTTCTCCTTCTCCTACCCTTTCAGTGGGCAGCTTTCTGGAGTGGGCAAGGGCAGGACACGGAGAGAACACTCTTTCCTCAGTCTCTCAGGGCCCGGGGTCCTTGTCTCTCCAATGTCTGGCATGTGGGCTGGGCTGATTCACAAATGGGGTGGGACATGTTGGCCACAGTCAGTGGCCACTGCAGCCCACCTTGGGGAAGGGGTGGTGTGGTGGGAGTGGGCAGGGCACAGGGAGGTGGGGGAGACTGACCGTGATGCTCTCCAGGCCCTGTCCACGGACTCGGTGGAACGCCTACCCGTCTACAACAAGTCAGCCTGGCGCCACTACCAGACCATCCAAGAGGCTGGTGACTGGTGTGTGCCCAGCACAGAGCCCAAGAACACGTCCACCTACCGTGTCAGCTAGGGGCCCCTGCTCATCTGTACCTGAGAGGATGGACTACTGTCTCTGGGACCGGCCACCATGGTGACCCTCCCTGTCCCCCAAGGCCTGGGGTGGGGGGTTTTCCCTGATGACCAGGTTCTGTCTCTGCGGAAATCACTGCGGTGACTGTTCTGTGGTGGCCCCCAAGTGCCAATCTCTGTCTCCATGGAGACCCCTACGTGGTCTCCCTGGTGTCCAGTCTCTGTGGGTGAAGCCTGAGAGTTGGGGGACATCTCTACCCTGATGGGGTGTCCCAGAGATACTTTTCCACGGCAGTCCTCTTCTCTGAGACCAGGCTGTCACTTTTTGCCAGGGGTCTTGGGTCTCTTCACTGCCCTACAAGCCCTGACCTTTTCACGTGGATGCCCCTGCTTGCCTTATTCCCCCAGCCCTGGTCCTGGCCTGTTGTGTTAGGAAGGGACTGGGTGTCCCAGATCTGGGGTAGTTGGTGGGGAAAGGGGTTGGGCCCCAGACCCCCGTTCAGGGACCTGGTCCTGCAGCCTCTCCCTCCACTCTGAGCCTTAAGGTCAAGGTTGCAAGGGAGGGAGGGGGCTCTCCCCCAGCACCCTAAAGTGAAAGAACCTGGGGAGCCTGGGAAGTTGCCTGTCCAGCGAGCTGCTCGAGGCCTTGCAGGCAGCCTCAGCAGTGTTCTGCCCTCTCTCCAGTCCTTCCCCGGCATGTCCTCACATGCATACACCCATCTGCCCACACACACGGTCCCCTCCTGAGCTCCAGACCCCAACTCACGCTGTGCCTAGACGCACACGTGCTAGGGATGGCTTTCTCCCTAGAATGTTCTATGTACGTAGCTAGTTTTATAACACTGAATGCCCCCCTTCCCCTAGCACACAGGGGGTTAAAGTTGTGTGCTCCTCCTCCCAGTGGCTGTGATGGTGACAGTGACATCCACCGTAAAGAGGAGACTGAATGAGACTGTGGCCTGGCTGCTTTTTTGGGGGGAGGGGGGCAGGGATCTCACACACCCACAAGCAGACTGGTGTACCTTGTGACCAACATACGACACACTCGGGCACCCAGCCCAGCTCAGTGTGGACCACGCGGAAAACACCAGCCAAAGCCGTTCATTCAGAATGCCTGACAGCCCAGCAGCCAGGGGCAAGTGCATCACCCACCACCCTCTGCACAGTCCAGTCTTCCATGACCAAGCCCAACCCCCCAAGTGGGGCAGACAGAAAGATCACTGGCACATCATATGTGTTTATTGAAATAAATTGAGAATCGCCTCCCCCTTCACATGCAGGTGGGCACCCACGATAGTTCCTGACACCTTCAGGGACACAGGTGACTTCCCACCTCCCCCAGCCCTTCCAGCAGCCCCAGATGGTGCCATTGTCCCCATATCTCAGTCTCCCTCTGAAGACCCTCTCCCAGCACAGACGGCGGAAGAGGAAAGAATTGAGTCCCGGGGACAGTGCCCTGGCTATACTGGGAAGTCCCTTAAGCTGCAGCCCCTGGGCCCGGGGAGGCAGTGGCTCTCAGGGATAGAGGAGCTCACCAGCGCCCCCTGCGGGAATGAGGGGAGTCAGCATGCACTAGTACCTGTCCAACGCTCCAGGCTGGTGGGGGCAGGTGGGAGGAGGCAGAGGGGGTTCCAGTCAGAGACCCCTGACTTGATGATAACTCCGGCCAGGGCCGCAGAATCTGGGCTGGCTGCTGGCCAGCACCAGATCTTTTCCCCCCCAAATATTCCTTCACAAGGATGGATGCCGGACTGCTGTGACAGACTGGACGGAGCCAGACCCCCACCTTCACCCAGAGGGTTAGCCTCACCCTCCTAGTAGCCAGTGGAACTGGAGCCTGCACAGGCCACCAGTACTGCAGCCCGCTGAGGCCCTGACAGGGACGCAGGCAGATGGGGGAGGGCTGATGAACCCTTGCAATCCAGTGGCTTCCGAGGGACCTCCCAGGTTGTGCCCCTGCCTGGCTGGGGTAGGATTCACCAGTTCTGCACCACCTAGGCAGTGGTGGTGGGGTGCCCTCCCACCAGCTCGCAGGGTTGCTGTGTCCCCACAGAGGGCTCAGCTGCCCTCTGAAGGAGCAGGAGGAGGAGAAATGGGCCCCAGCTTGGGGAGTGGGTCAAAGGCCAGGCCTTGAATGGGCCCAGGAGGGGCAGATCTATATGGATATCATCTTGGCCAGTGGGACCCATAGGACAAGGAAGGGAAGAGAAGGGATTTTTCATCCTCCCTTCTAACATCCTTACAAAGATCGTGCTTATCCCCATGCTGCCTCCTCTGCTCTCCTGCCGAGAGTTTAGCTGGGAGTCTGCCCTGAGTGCAACTTGCTGCAGTGCCCACTGGCCTCCCTGGGGAGCTGCAGAGAGCTTTCCCAACCCACAGCCACCATGGCGAGCTGGGGAGAAACAACTCTGTGCGGCTACTCCTGTGGAGAGGCTCAGTCCTATCTCTCTGAGCCCTAAGACCCTCGCCCCTCTTGGGCCTCCGGAAGGAAGGCAGGCAGGCAGGTATCCCAGCTTACTTCCAGCCCCTAGCCCCACCCTGGCCTGAGGACAGAGGGTCAGCCTGACCCAGGCTGCCCTGGGGTCCCAGAGTTGATTCAGCCCTGGCCTCTCTGCCTTCTTCCCTCATCTGCCACCTCCCCCAGGAACTCTGTGCCAAACAAGTCCGTGAAACAGAATTTATTACTGGCCCTTCTTCCTGGGCTCTCCCTTTCCGGGGGCTGTAGGTCCAGACAGGGTGGGAGAGGACGTGTGCCCCCTGAGAGCACGGGACCAGGCCGTCCCAAGCTCGGTGCCCAGGCCCAGCCTCCTCATTGAGGCCTGTGGCTGCCGAGCCCGGTGGTGGCGGTGCCTGGGTGCCAGCGCCTGCCCCCGCCTCCCCTAGCTCTTCTTGGCCTCCTGCTCTCTGCGCCGCAGCTTCTCTCGCTGCCGTGCAGCCTTCTCCTGGGCCTTGCGCTCCTTCTCTGCAGCTGCTGCCAGCTCCTTCAACTTCCGCTTCACTAGTGCCCGGTCATGCGAGTTGCTGAGCCCCAGGCTCTGGGGGAAGAATCCCAGGGTAAGGGAACGAGTACCAGAACCATCCGCAGCACTGGCCAATCCAAGCGCCTGGTTCTTTTTGCCTTGGTTCTTCTCTCTTTGAAACTCTGTCAGAACCTCCCCGAGTGTAACCTCCATCTCCCAGACTGACTCTCTGATGGGTCAGAATTTGGAATGGGAGTGGTTGGGAGAGTTGAGGGTTGAGGGTACCAGGGCCTTTGGCCCCCAGTCCCTAGCTCCCATCTCTCCAGGATTTTCAGCCTTTGTATGACCCTGCCCAACCTCCTGAAGCCTAGAGGTGGGGAGTGACTTGCTCAAGGTCACACAGCTAGTCAGTGGTTGAGGCCCCATCACCACCACTGCCAGCAGCTTCTGAGACTGGGAATCAGAGAAAGATGACCCAGGGAAAGGCCTGGCTTGCCAAGACACCAGGAGACTCATCTGGGGTAAAGAGTCAGATGACAGTCTTAGACGTCAAGGTCAGCCTGGAGACCTGGGTTACAATTTAAAGATCAAATCAAAGAATTGGGCTCAAGTTTCAGATCAGACCAGGGGCCCATGCTGGAGTACAAAGATTAGGCCAAGGACCTTGCCTGAAGGTCAGAGGTCAGGACAGTGGCCTTAGAAGGAGTGAAAAGGTCAGCCCAGGAGGCTGAGCTGAAGGTCAAAGGATGAGGAGAGCCTCAGGCCCAGGCTGTGTCATGGCCCTTCCACCCTGACCTACCTTCAGTTTGCTTCCATCCAGCTGCAGTAGCTGTGGCCCGTCCACCTGCCGTGCAGCAAACTCAGCAGCATACTGCTCCAGGTTGAGGCTGTGCAGCCACTGGCCCACCTGCTGACTGGTCCAGTGGTGGACAGTGGGGAGGGGTTCGTCCAGGAACTGGGCAGAGACCAAGGAGAGTGAGGGGCGAAGGCCTGGCCTGTGGCCTGCACAGAGTCGGGTCGGGGCCAGCTGACACTATGGCCAGCCTTGCTCACCTCATCCGAAGACTGGGACAGCGTGTGATAGGGGTAGGAGCACTTGGCCTCTTGCCGGGGGGCACTCAGGATCTTGGGGCTGCTGCTGGGGGGTGTAGAGTCATCACTCAGAGTGGATTCCTGCACAGGAAGGGATGCATGTGGCTGAGAGAGCTTACCCCAAGCTAAGAGAGTCCTTTCAACCCACCACCCCCATCTGATGGAGTTGAAGTCCTACACTAGACACCAGAGTTGCTCAGCCTCCCCTGTGCATGGGCCATGAGCTGGGCAGGTACACAGGACATGGTGCTCATGTGAGACGTCAGGACCTGTGGCCTCTGGGAGAGTAGGCAGCTGTCTGGAGGACATGGGGCTAGAACTGAGCCAGGCAGAATTGTTGGAAGGAATGGAAAAAGTCTCAGGCTAGGTGTCGCTTCCTACAGGCAGCCTACAATGCTTCCAGCAGGCTGGGTCAGGTATCCCTGCTATGTGCCTCCCCCCCATGTCCTCTAGCACCCTGGGAAAACTGTCTGATTACAGGTCTTTGTCCTCACTGGACTGTGAGCTCTGTGAGGGCCTGGGCTGTGTCCTGTTCACCATGGTAGCTCCAGGGAAGGAAGAAAGGGAGGGATGGAGAAGGGCATGCAAGGAGGGAGGAAAGAAGGAAGTCCTAAGTCAGAAACGGCTGTCTGTTCTCTGAATCCCCAGCATTCTGGTCTCCTCTGCCCCAGCAGCACATAAGGAACAGAACCATAGAAGGAGCACTGGGCTTGGGGCTCATAGAGCCCTACAGCTAAATCTGTATGAGTCCTTTCTCTCTGAGCCTTCATTTCCTCATCTGCACAATGGGCACGAGCGTGCCTGCCCTGCCTAGTTCATTGAGCTATTGTGAGAGTGAAGAAAAATGTGTCTGGGGCTCTGTAAACTGTAAAGAGCTTTATGAACGTAAGTGGACACTCACTGTTGCTTCTGTTACTTGCTTTCATTTCTCCCACAAAGTTGGGAGCTTTTTGAGCTCTAGGCTGGGATCATATTCATCCTTGCTTCCCCCAAGCCTTGCCCCCCACACACGTAGGCGGCCCAGTTCCTAACACAGGTAGTCTGCAGTGATCTGTGTTAAATGGGTGAGACAGTGAATAAATCAGTGAGTGAACTAAGGAGAATCTGAATGAGTGAACGAGTGAATGAATGAACTCAGAGAATGGACAAATTAATGAATTACTGAATGCTCAATGGGTGAACAAATGGACTCCAGGAATGCCTGAATCCCAGCCTGAGCTCTCATGTCACCTGAGTCTGGGGCCAGTTGGGGGGCAAAAAAGCCATAGACTCACCTGAGAAGCTGACTTCTTGGGGCTGAAGCCCTCGTGTTTGGGGGAGCAGGCGGGGGAGGTGGTGCTGCCAGAGGATGCTGAGCCCTTGCCACTGTCTGTGAACCAGGAGAAGGGCAGAAATGGGGAGCCCCCAGATCTGCCAGAGCCCTCCACTGACTCCCTGTGGAAAGAGCATCCAACATGGGTATGGACGCAGAGGGGAGGGCCGGGCCCCCAGGGAGCTATGGGCTGGTGCCATATGTGGACACTGTGGGTTCCTCCTACCTGCTGCCCATGGACAGGCGGTTGCTGCCTTTCTCCTTCCGGCTCTTGCCAGTGGATGCTCGGCGTAGGGTGACCCTGTGGAACGGGCAGGGGGAAGTGGGGCAGTGCTGCCTGGTGGGCTACCCTAACCCTGGCAGCTCCAAGCCCTGGGTTCTGGCTCCTCCACTCACCCCAGGTCCAGGAATTTTCGGCGAGTCTTCTTATCCAGGCCGATGGTGGGGCTGGCAGGTTCAGGCGGGCTGGCATCCCGACTGTCATCTTTGGGGAAGAGAGGTGAGAAAATAGCCAGTGTGGTGGCCTCGCTCCTCCTGCAGCTTCTAGTGTGGTGTGCTGGAAATTTTCTAGACTTAGAATCAGGCACCCTGGCTCTGGTGCCCGTTACTGGTTGTGTGGCCTGGGACAAATCACTTCACCTCTCTGAGCTTCCTTCATCTCAAATACGGCAATAATAACACCTGCCTATTTCATGGGACCTAATGGGGTCACCGGAGCCCTGGTGACACAGTGGTTAAGCACTCGGCTGCTAACCAAAAGATCAGCGGTTTGAATCCACCAGCCGCTCTGTGGGAGAAAGATGTTGCAGTCTGCGTCCATAAGGATTACAGCCTTGGAAACCCTATGGGGGAGTTCTACTCTGTCCTATAAGATCGCTATGCGTTGGAATTGACTCATGGCAACTAAACTAGAGAAGCCTTTTACAAAGCATGAAGTGCTGTGAGAAGGTAGAGACCACTACTATTTTATCGATCATTTTATCCTGGCCAGCTTCTAACCAGTTTACCAATCCTGGCTCAAATATTCCTTCCTTGGCGAAGCCTTCCAGAAAGCCCCCAGCTAGGTTAGACGCCTGACAGAGGCTCTCCCACACCGGCGCTGTGCTCATTTCCCGCATAGCGCTTAGTACAGTTTGGAACTATGTATCTAATTAGGGGATTACTTGATTATTTCCTCCCTAAACCATGTTGTTATTGTTGTTGTTAGTTGACCTCAGTCCATTCTGACTCATGGTGACCCAGGGTGTGCAGAGCAGAACTGCTTCATAGGGTTTTCAAGGCTGTGAACTTTCAGAAGCAGGTTGCCAGGCCTGTCTTTTGAGGTGCCTCTGGGAAGGTCTGAACCGTCAACATTTTGGCTAGTAATCCAGCGGTTAACTATTTGCACCACTCAGGGACTCCCCCTAAATTATAAGGAATATTGTTTCTCCCCTAAACTGCAAGCTCCAGGAGGACAAGGACCACATCTGTTTGCTCACCGGTGTGTCCCAGAGCCTGAGTGTCTGGCACGTAATAGGTGGTGCTCAGTAAGTATTTGCTGAATGAATGAGCCGTGGTGTTTACTCCTCCACCTCCCACCCAAGCCACACTGGTCCAGCCCAGCGCTTTGGTCCCCACCGGGACAGGAGAGGCCGCTGTTGCCCCAGTGTGCACCAGCAGGGGGCGCCGCGCCGTCCACTGCTCACCTTCGCTGTGCGGCTCGGCGCGCGGGTGTCGGCGCACGAAACTCGGCGAGCTGTCAGAAGAGGGCGCGGAGCGCGGCGGTGAGCAGGAGGCTGCAGCCAGGCCTTCGTGCGAGGCGGCGTTGTGCAGGGGCCGGTAGCGCGTGAGAGGCGAGGGCGGCGGCTCGTCCTCGTCCAGGCTGCGCCGCAGTCCCGGAGGCTCCAGGCAGAAAGAACCCCCGGCCGGGGACCCCGGGCCCGAGTGTAAGGGCGAGCGCAGCCGGTGCAGGGGGCTCCCGCAGCCGTCGGTCACCTGGAGGAGGGGGTAGCCGCTAGCTGCAAATTCTCCTCCCCATTTCCTGGAGGGCCTAGGAGCCAGCTTCAACCCCTTTAACTCCGCAGAAGCCACCAGGGCGGGAAGTCCGGACTCCTGGGTCCTTCTAGGGGGAAGGGAAGCGTGGGAGGGTGTCCTCATGCTCACCCAACAAAGAGTGGCTAGGACAGTGAGAGGTGGGAAATGGGGCTTTGAGCCACATAGGCTGGGGCTGAATCCAGCCTCAGTCACTGACTGACTGTGTGACTTTTGTTACTGAACCTCTCAGAGCATCAGTTTCCTCATCAGTAAGATGGGAATAATAATACCTTCATTAAAAGAATGAAATGAGCTAGAAGTGAGGGACAGACAGCTAATAGTTATTAGCATTATTATGTCAGAAGTTTGGGGATGTGGTTTTCCTGGAGGAGAGATTTAAGGGATTACCCAGGGGCAAGAAGGATGGGTGGGTGTTTGTGTGTTCGAGTGAGTTGCCCCAACCTTGCCTCCAGGCCCATCGGAGCCTTCACCATCCTCAGCGGAACTGGCACTGTCCCGAAGCCTCGAGCGGGAGGGCCGGTGTCTCCGGCCCTTGGCCAGCAGTTGGGCCCGGGCCTTGTGTAAACTGCTGTCCAGTCTGACGGTCTCTGGCACGGCCAAGTCCAGGTCTGTGAACCGGAGTGAGGAGACAGGGACCAGACACATGAAAAGGTTGGTCCCAGAAGCCCACCTCAGGTCCCTTGCACTCACACCCCAGACACTACCAAGTGTTTTGAGTGCCGCCCCATGCTGGGCACTGGGAGTACAGACAGATGAAAACCAATGTCCCTCACAGTCTCAGGGAGCCAGACATCCATACAGCACAGTGTGACAAAATCGCACGGAGGCACAGAGGAAGTGTAGAGGGGGACAGGACAACCCTATTTGGATGGGTCCGAGGAGGCAACACCAAAGCTGGGTCTTAAGGTCTGGGTGGGCGTTTACAAGAGATGAGGTGGAGATGGCAGCCGGGTGGCGAGACTGGTGTACACGACACTGGGAAGAGGGAAGCAAGCAGCAACAGCTCCAGGACAGCTGGAGGGTAGGCTTGTGGAAGGAAGGGCTGGGGTGAGGCTGGAGAGGTCATGGTAATAGTGACTGCCATTTAGGAAGCACCTTCTATGTGCCAGGAAATGTGACAAGTGCTTTACATACATCACCTCACCTACTCTTCAAAACAGCCTAGTGGGGTAGGTGTGCCTATTAAGCACATTTCACAGTGGAGGAAACTGAGACTCAGAGTGGTTAAGTCACTTGGCCAAAGCCATCAGCTAGCAGTGGTCCAGGATTTGAGCCTGGGTAGTATGGCTCCAAGTGGTTATGAGCTTGGCTGCTAACCGAAATGTCAGTGGTTCAAACCCACCAGCCGCTGCATGGGAGAAAGTCGTGGCAATCTGCTTCCGTAAACATTACAGTCTTGGAAATCCCACGAGCAGTTCTACTCTGTCCTATAGAGTCACTACGAGTTGGAATCAACTGGGCAGCTACGAGTTTGGTTTTGGGGTTTTTTAGTCTGACTCCCGGGACTGGCTTGTTTCCTTTTGAGCTGAGGTGCCTGTCCAGAGCTCTGCTGTGGACCCTGGCTTCCTGCGTCATGCTCAGGATCAGGGTCACACTCAGACGCCACTGCTGAGCACCTAGATAGCTCATCGTTGAAGGGAGCAAAGGAATCCACAAGCCAGTGGCAGTGCTAGGAAGGAAAGCAGTTGCTGATGGAGCCCCACAGCCTCCTGAAGCCTGTCTCCCCCAGCCTAGGCTCATGCGCCGTGCTAGGTTCTGGATGGGAGGACACGGAGGAAGAGTGGAGGAAGAGTAGGCAAACCCCTGTGGATCATCCATAGAAACCCTTCCTGCTCATAGTTTCCTTTTTCATTCACTCACCCTGGGAATGAAGCCCACCCCGTAGCGGACCAGAGCTTGGCCGTGGGGTTTCCAGATGGAAAAAGTTTTTCCCAGCCCTCAGGATGGGTCAAGACCTTTCTTCCCCACCCCACTCCCGATAGTCTCAGGGACCACCATCCCATCACTCATCCACCCTGCCTTGCCTGTTCCTCTCTTGTCTGCAGTCACCCCCTAAACCACCCTAGTTGCTCTCCTGGCCCAACTAACCAGTAAAAAAAACAAACACAGTTGCTGTGAAGTCGACTTTGACTCATGGTTACTCCATGTGTTTCAGGGTAGAGCTGCACTCCATAGAGTCTTCATAGCTGTGACCTTTCGAAAGCAGATCACCAGGCCCTTCTTCAGAGGTAATGCTGGATGGACTGGAACTTCCAACCTTTTAGTTAGCATCTGAGTGCTTAACCGTTTGCACTACCCCTCTGTTTCTAGTCCTGACCCCTCTCCTGTATTCCAAGCCCTGGCACCCAGGCACCAGCCAGGGAGCTTGCCACATCAAAGGCCCTCAGGCATCTCAAACTCAACCCATCAAAATGAACCCATCACCTTGCCTCAAACCCACTTCTCTATTCCCTGGCTCAGTGAAAGGCCTCTCCATCCACTCAATGACCCAAGTCAGTGGACTGCCAGCTACGCACCCACCTCAGCCCAAGACTCAGTAATTTATGTGCTCAACTGCCTACTCGACGTCTCCATTTGTATGTCTAACGGGCTACTCGATGTCTTCATTTGTATGTCTAACGGGCATCTTCAACTTACACGTCAAAACTGAATTCCTGGCCCTCTCCCCCTCTAGCTGCTCCTCCCATCTCAGTGAATGGCAGCTCCATCCTTCCAGTTGCTCAGGACCAACCCCTGGAGCCATCCTTGACTCCTCTCTTTCCCTCCCACCCTACAAACCGATCCATCCACAATTCCTGTTAGCTCTACCTTTGAAATATATCTAGACATACTGAAATATTTATGGCAAAGTGATAATGATGTTTTGGATTAGGTTCAAAAATAATCCAGGGCAGTGGGGGTGGGGAGTGGAACGGGGGATGAAACCAAACCAGCCATGAGTTGATCATTGTTGAGGTTGGGTGATGGGTACATGGGGTCACTGCGCTGTTCCCTCTACTTTTGGGTATGTTTGAGATTTTTCACAATAAAAAATACATACACACACACACACACACACCCATACATGCGTACATACAGAGAGAAAGAGGAGCGGATGAAGGGGAGGAGGGAAGGGAGAGGGAGAACTTCTCACAGCCTCCCTGGTCTAGGTCACCGTCATCTCTTGCCTGGATTATTACAAAAGCCTCCTGGCTGGCTTTCCCTCCTCCTCCTCCCTTTCCCATTTACAGTCTATTTTCAACACAGCAGCCAAAGTGATCCTGATAAAACACGTCAGATCGCGTCGCTCCTCTGCTCAGAACCCTCCAGTGACTTCCATTTCACACAGAGTAAGAGCCAAAGTTCTCCCAGTGGCCTTCCAGACTCACTCGGTCCACACTTTCCTTACCTCTCCGAACCTGTACTTCTCTCCCTCTTGCTCCCTCCACTCCAACCACTCTGGCCTCCTGACTCTTCCTCACATATGCCAGGCCTGCTCCCACCTCAGGGCCTTGGCCCTTACTCTCTCCTTCCCTTGCAAGGCTCTTGCTACAGATTTCTACGTCCCTCACATCCTTCAGGTCTTTGCTCAAATGCTCTCTCCCACTGAGGCCTTCCTTGACCCCCCTATTTCTAACTGCTACACACACACACACATTCCATAACCCCTGCCCCTATTGTTTTTCTCTATAGTATTCACCAAACCCTGGCATCCTGTACATTTCACTTATTGAGTTTATTGTCTCTTTCCACTCATTAGAATGTCAGCTCCATGAGGACAGCTTTTTCCCTATTTTGCTCACTGCTCTAGCACAGGTGGAGAATGGTGCCTGACATATAGTACATGCTTAAACCAAAAAAAAAAAAATCGCTGCGGTCGAGTCGATTCCGACTCATAGTGACCTTATAGGACAGAGTAGAACTGCCCCATAGGGTTTCTAAGGAGCAGCTGGTGGATACAAACTGCCAACCTTTTGGTTAGCAGCCAAGCTCTTAACCACTGTGCTTGGTAAATATTAATGAAAGAATGAAGTTCTATTGATTCACCCTCCTCACACCCCGGAAACCTGGCCTCTCCTCTCCCTCTTGACTGCACTGCCTCAGCTCAGGCCTTCATCAGCTGCCTCTAGCCCCATTCTGCCATCCCAGAACATGGCCTCAGTCTCCACCCTGTGTTCCCTTCCTCCAATGGCCCCCCTCACATCTTCCACACAGCTAACAGAAACTTTCGGAAGCACATTTCTGACTCTGTCACTTATCTCCTGCCCTTGAAAACCTCTGGGAAAGCCAAAAGCTGACAATATAAAGTCCAAGCTCCTTAGCTCGTCACTCAAGGCCTAAAGGGTCTTCAGCCAGCCCTTTGTTTCCCACAGACCCCTCCTCTGCCCGCCATGCTCCTATAAGGCACGGTGGTTAAGAGCAAAGGCTCTGGAGCCAGAATGCTGGTGCTGAATCCAGTTCTCTCACTTCCTGGCTGAGTGACCCTGGACAAATTATTTATGTTTAGGTATCAGCTTCCTCTTCTGTAAAATGGGCTCATAATAAGAGTAACTTCCTTATAGGGTTGATGTGAGCATTAAATAAGATCATCCACATAAAGTGCTTCACCATGATGCCTGTGACTTAGTAAATGCTCAGCAAGCATTGGCTGTTAGTGCGAGCAGCACCGAATTGCTTACATCGATCCCTACAGACTTGCTTCCATCTCTTACTTCCCATCTCCATCCCGTTGCTCGCGCTGCTCTCTACTCCAGTGCTCTTCACCCTTTCTTTGTCCGGCTGATCAACTCTAACACATCACCTCCTCCTCCCCTTCTTCAGGCCCCAGCACTATTCTATGGTCAGGGATGATGGTCTCCCATGCCAGTCTGCCCAATGCAGAAGGTGATGCCCTTCACTCTCTGCTATGAATCCTGAGAGCCTGGTGCAGCGCCTTGAAGAGAGTGGGTGCTCGTCGAGGTTGGACGAATTGAACCAAAGCCACACTTCCATGGACCATGGCAGACTTCGGCAGAAACGGACTTGCAGGTACTGATGACACATCACTTACAAACGCAAGCCCACATTCCATCACGTCCCACACTTTAATCTTCTGCAGGGCACTCCCCACCATCTCATAGCTTCCTCGTTTATTTATGTGTGCTTTTATTATCTGTCCCCTTCCTGCCCCTGTCCTAGAATTCAAGCTCCTTGAGAGCAGCGACTTTGCCTGACTTGTTCAGTACTGTCTCACATTAAGAACTCAATAAATATTTGTTGAGTGGATGAAAGAGATAGGGTGTGATTGGGAGGCTGACGAAAAAAAAAAAAAGAAACCAAACCCATTGCCACTGAGTCAATTCCAACTCATAGCCACCCTATAGGACAGGGTAGAACTGCCCCATAGGGCTTCCAAGGAGCTGTTGATGGATTTGAACTGTCAACCTTTTGGTTAGGAGCCGAGCTCTTAACCACTGTGCTACCAGGGCTCCAGAGTGGGGGGCTAGCTACTTTAAATTAGGTAGCTAGGCTGAGATTGACAATACAGAGCTGAGGTGGTAGAAAGACCAAGAAAGAGCTTTTCAAGTACCGGGAATGGAGCAGGTTTGGGCTTGGAGTGTCTGAGGAGCACCAGGGGGCCAGTGCCATCTGCAAGGAGAAGGGAATGGCCTGGTTGAAGGGGGGTGATGGAGACAGAGGAGTCTGTTGTTGTCCAGCAAGAGCTGGTGGTGGCTTGGAGAAGGGGACAGATACTGTCAAAACGACTGCTATCTTGGACCCCAGATTTGACATCACTCCTCCGGTCTCTTGGCTGCCCCTCCTGGCCCTCTGATGTTTCCAGACCCTGGGGCTGAGCTGGGGGAGGGAGCCCTGTGTCCCCTGCCCTCTGGCACAGATTCTCTGGGCACTGCCATGAAGCAGCAAGGATGGAGGATGGAACCACAGAATAATAATAGCTAATACTTACTGAGTGCTTGTTGCCCAGGCATTATTCTGAGTGCTTTATAATTACTAACTCATTCCCACAACCCTATGAGGAAGGTACTCCAGGCATCCCCAGGGCAGCCAAGCAACAAAAAGCAAGGCCCAGGTTAAAAGCAGGTAGTCTGGCTCTAGAGCTGGATTTATAATCACACGTATGCTACACTGTCTCTCAGGCAGAGATGGGAGCCAGCAACTTTTGAGTTCAAGTCCAACCACCTCATTTTATAGATGGGGAAACTGAGGCTCCGAGAGGAAAGCTTTGGTCAAGGCTGCAGAGCAGAGGGAGTTAAGGACACAATCTTAGTCTCCTGGCTCCCAGGCCAGTGCTCTTGTTGCTCTCCAGGGGACTGCCAGGCATCCTCTAGCCTTCTGGCCCTCAGCTGGTGCCCAGCCAACCTGGGCCTGGGAGGGGGCCCTTTGCTGTGCACTCTGGGCCACATCAGGACCATAGTCATCTTATATGGGGGGGGTATGGGAGCAAAGAGACTTCTAACAGGGTCAGAGATTTTGAAGCAAGGTGGAACCAGCCTTTCCTAGGGTTTGTTGCTCTGCCAGGCCCCTTGCCCTGCTTCTTCCATCTCTTCCTTGTGTGCACACCAGCACTCTCTCTCTCTCTCACCTCCTTGAGGGAGATGGCCCAGCCCTGGACAGTGGGAGGTCATGAATATTTAATAGTCTTGCAAATCAGGAAGCATGGCTGGGCCGCGCTACCTCAGCAGGTCTGAGAGGGGGAAAACAGGATGGGTCTGGGTGGGGGAAGTGGAGGCAGAAAAGCCTGGGGAGGGGAGCTCATGCCAGTCAGGCCAGGGATTAGGCTGGGCCAGGTGGAGACAGAGAGACTCCGAATCTGAGGCCTAGACAGCTGGAGTCCAGGGGAGTCTCAGAGGCAAATCCTCCACTCCAGAGACCCCAGGGAGGCTGGAGTACAAAGCAGCATCCCCCAGAAGCCAAGAGGCAGCAGTTCCTGGCATTGCCTGGGCGTATGGCAAAGGCAGGAAGAATGAGGTGAGCAGGGGGTGGGAGGCGCAAAAGGGAGGAAGGGCGAGAAGGGGAGAAGGCAGGGAGGAGAAACGTTCCCTGCGTAGGAGCCCCCTCGAGGCTGCATACACAGATGTGTGAGCCCTCAAAGAATGTGCAGTGTTACAGATTCAGGCAGCTTCTTCTCCTGAATCTACTTCTCCCTCCACAATCCTCCATGTTCCTTTGCTCACAGTCTCCTCCACCCGAATCCAGGTGGGAAATCGCCTTTCTGCCCCAGAGCATGTTGGGAATGCTGCCCTGAGGGGATGGTCTCTTTCTCCAATCCACACAACAGATAGACTGCAGAGGGTAAATGATGGTGTGGGCTGTGTGTGAACCTGAGGACATGGACATGTGCTCCAGTATGAGGGTGGAGGTCTGGGGTACTGAGGCTGTGTGTGTGTCATGGATTTGATTTCAGTACACATCCATGCAGGGTGATGTCCCATGTACTTATGCAACTTGGAGGTAATGTGTGTCATATGTGCTGGGTACACAAGTGTATAACACAGGAACTAGGAGCAAGGAGTCAGGCAGACTTGAGTTCTAGTTCCAGCTCTGCCACTAACTTGTCATGTGATCTTTAAAGCAAGTCACTTCAGCACTCTCTGCCCTAGGTTCCTCATCTGTAAAATGGGTACACTGCTTAGCATTATTGTGAGGATTAAATGATACACCACATGTGAGATGTGGGTGCTTCACTAGTGCCTGGCATAAGAGAAATACTTAATACAATGGGGACCCTTATTATTATTGCTGTTGTTGTACTTGACATGTCCACTAAGACAGTACTAACAAAGAATAAGGCTGTAAGGCCACAACAGACACACACTCAACCCCCCAGAACCACCACCCTCTCCCCGCCCAATGCTGGGTGGCCTTGGAAGAAAGTGCTCTATAACTGTGTCTATTGGCTAGAGATAAAGTCACACAGAACTTACCAAAAACCTCATCCACAGGTTCTCGAAGCTTTGAAGAAGCCATGACTCAAGAGAGCTGGAGAGGATAAGGGAGAAGAGAGAGAGAAAAGAGATCCTGAGTGAGAGGTTTAAGTTGGTCAAGGCAGAGGAGCTGTCAATGGCCCTCTGCCCCTGGCCAGCTGGCCCCTCATCTTCCCTAGAATTCTTCCTCAGGTCCCCTGGAAGACAGATCACCTGTAATGTCCCAGATTGTGGGGGTTGGGGCAGGAGGCAGAGCAGAAGGGTAGGGACAGATGCAAATCCAGGAATCCGGGAATCCAGGATATAGACACAGGCTGAGTCTTGTGGTCTTGGTTCAAGCTAATGTACTGTGTACCTTTACACGGGTCACTAAGTTTCTCCCCTTCACTGTCTTAGAACTTTCTATCATTAAAACCTATCAAAAAAAAACAAACCCACTGCCGTCGAGTCAATTCTGACTCATAGTGACCCTGTAGGACAGAGTAGAACTGCTCCATAAGGTTTCAAAGGAGCACCTGGTAGATTTGAACTGCCAATCTCCTGGTCAGCAGCTGAACTCTTAACCACTATGCCACCAGGGTTCCCATCATTAGCATCCTCTAAAATATTTTAATGTTATAAATTGTACGTCAAATCTGGGAGAGATCTTAGAGGTTATTAGATCCAGTCCTCTCATTTTACAATGAAGAAACAGACTCAGAGAGGGGGGAATGACGGGCTCAAGATCACATAGCAAGCTAATGACAAAATCAGGATGAGAACCCAGGTTCTTCCACCCATCTACCTCCTACTTATCCATCCATGTGTCCACTCATCCATCCATCCATCCATCTAACAATTCATCCACCCTCATCCATCCATCCATCTACCTACCCATCCATCCATTCCATCCATCATCCAGTCCTGGCCCCTCTCCATCACTGGTGCCAACTCTCTGAACATGAGCTGTTCAGGAAGCTGGCACCATCAGCAGGCTTACTTTTCTAGACAAACTCACTGTTCTCACAGTTCTTGACAGATTCACAGATGAATCCTCAGAAGGGTATGAGGAGTACTCACAGCACAACAGTGGACAGCCAAATCTCTATGATGCATCCAGTATGTTCTGGGAAGAAGTATGGTTAGGTAGGGTTTTTTGTTTTTGTGGGAAGCAAGAAGGGAGGGCAGGTAGGAAAGCAGGATATATGCAACTGAGCAATTTGGGCAGGCTTCCTAGCAGGTGTAGGATTCTAGTAGCCCTGAACCAAGCCTTGTCAGAAGGGCAGAAGAATGCTGGATGAGGGAGAATGAGGAAGCTCAGGGGCCACTGACGGTTTAGGGCTCTGGGCTAGACTGTACATTTGACAGGTATAGAAAATCTGTACCACACACCTGCTGGGGACTTATCCACTGGAGAGGCCAATGGCAGGAAGGCCGAAGGGAACTCTCCTCTTCTGTTATTACATAGACATCATCTCACTATGAGCTGGCCAGGCTTGGGATTCTTAGTGACCATACTTTACAGATGAGGAAGCTGAGGTACAGGAGATAAGAAGCAGAACTCAGCCTGGACTCTGGTCTCCTACCCCACAGCCCTATCCTGGGTGACGGTCTTCAGTGTTGCAGGGTGCTCTCAAGGAACGGACACTACTGAGGGAAGGGGTATAAGGGTAGAGGGAGGAGAGGTGGTCCACATTAGCTAGGACTGGGAGAAACATCAAAACCACCTCCGCCCCAGGCTCCATGGATGCCTGGGGCTGAAGCTGAAAGCAGGAAATGAGGTGTGTGAAGGGGTCAAAGGGGACATGGGCCAAACCCCTAAGGAACACTTTTGTCATTCTTGAGCCCTGGGGAGGGCGGGATTAGTAGCCAAGAAGTTCCAGAATATCCTCCCTGTCCTGAGGCCAGATGGGATGGGGGGCTGCCCCTAAGAATGAACCAGTTTCCCCCATCCAATCACAAAGCCTCACCCGACTAGGACCCAGCTGCCACCTCCTCCAGAAAGCTGCCTAGATAGCCCTTTCTCCTCTCATTTGTCTACATAATTTCTAAATTCACCCTTCCCCAACCACTGGCAAATGGGGAGTTTTTTATACTTCACTGGTTCCCTAAATGGGTCATATCTTCTTCCCAACAAAGGGAGCTCGTTGAGAAGAGGGGCCATATATTGCCCATCAGACTAGCGACTCTCTGAAGATAGGAACTGCCTCTCCCATCTGAATGGAGGCTTGTTGAGGGCAGAGGCTGTGCCTCCTCTCAGACTTCCTGAGAATGGTGATCCCATGTGTCCTTTATTCAAGGACCCAGTCCAGGTAAGTCCCTCTTGTGGATGGAGCCATCTTTCAGGCTGGGGTGGGCTAGGGCTTCCAGCTCACATCCCCTCCCAATCCATCCTAAATCGGCACAAACTTCTTTCTTTCCCTCCCTTTGACAACTAACCCCCTGGGGTGTGTGTAGGGGAGACCATCCCTATAATGTCTGATGGGGAACTCTGGAGAAGAAGCAGTATATCCAGGAGCTCACCAGGCCCCTCTCACCCAGTCCTCCACTTCCAAAACAGAGCCCTGGAAATTCAGACACCAACCCTCCTTCCACTCCTATACGCACACACACAAACATACAACCAGGTAACAGCCACAAGAGTGGAAATGAACCTGTCCCCCTCTGGACCCAGTCTGGGCTCTGGTGCTACCAGGCCACTCCCTCCCCCCAAAGCTTCTAACTACCAGAGAGAGGTGCATCAATGACCTTTGACTCTTCTCTGGGAGAAAGGGAGGCAGGTGAGCTCAAAGCTTCCTGGGACCAAGTGGAGGGAGAAAGAGAAATAAAGCACAAGCCCTGGGGAGGGAGTGGGGAGAGAGTGAAGAGGAAGAACAGCCAGAGACAGACAGAGAAGCTGAGAGTCAGAAGGGCAGCCCATAGGGCTGCTGAGAAATAGAAGAAAGAGATCAGAGAGTGGGAGAGGGAAAGCAATAGTAGGAATGGAGGGCTCCGGCAGCCCTAGGTGAGGCCCAAGGGTAGGATGGGAAGGAGCATGGAGAATCCACCGCAAGAGACCGATGGGCTCCCAGCGGGGCGGCAGAGTAAAGAGGCCCTGGAAGGGTAGAGATCTAAAGAGAAGTGCAACTGGGAAAAGCTGGGAAGGCATGAACCCCGGAGAGCAAGCTTGGGGTGGGGGGAGGCAAATTGTGCAGCTAGAGAAGGCAGTACCCCCTCCCCATAAGGCCCAGTCTTCCACTAGCCCAAGGCTGGGGTACCCGGTGGGTCTCCACGCCACCTCAGAGCCCTGCTGGAGTTGGGGTAGAGATGGAGGACAGCGCACCTACTCCGCTCCCGGGACCCCTACCCCTAGGTGACGAGTTTCTCTCCAATCCATCAATCCAACTCCCCGCCGAGCAAGGAGTTAAGCCCTCTCCCCTCCCCCCACTCCAGTTTTTTATTAATTTCTCCGGGCAACAAGCGGGAGGGAGGGGATTAGGGACACAAATCCTACCTCCGCCCCCTCCCCTGTCAGCCCAGCACCCCAGTCCCGTGCGGCCCCCCTCGGGATAGGGGAAGAAAGATTCTTGTAGCTTCGCCCTATCAACCCTACTCGGGGTCCTCCCACGAGCCCCCAGCCCGATGTCCCCGCCCACCCTCGAGTCCCCGGAGTCCCGGCCCCTCACCTCCAGCATCGGGCATCTTCAGCAGCCAGCGCCTCGGGAACCCCTCAGGCCCATAGTGCTCGAGGCGGGGGCCCGGGCGGAAGAGAGGCGGAGGCCGTCACCCCGGCCGCAGGGGGCTCCGGGCGGGCTCGCTCCGCTCCATCCCAGGTGTGGGTGGGGGTTGGCGGGCAGGGGCCCGAGGCCCGAGGGATGGGGGGCTGGTGTGGGGCGAGAGGGAGAGGCTTGCGGGAAGCAGGCGGCGGGCGGGGCTGGACCGGGAGACCTGACGGGAGGATGCTCCGTGTGTGTGTGCGTGTGTATGTGTGTGCGAGTGTGTGTGAGCGCCAGCGAGAGAGCGCGCCCCCGCCCCGCCCGCCTGCCCGCCGGACGCGGGCCCCGCGTGACAGACCGGTCGGCGCAGCGTCGCGTTA